AGGTGTATATAATAAAAACTTACTTTTATCTATTAATCTTTTCATTTTTTTTTTGTTTTTTTTTTTTTTTATAAAGAAATTCACTCATGTATCAATTTTCGAAACAATTTGTTTTTAGTGACTTTTTATTTTTTATTTTTTTAATATTGTTTTTGTGTTCATCAATCCTTCCTTCAAATATCTTCAAACTAATTGATTAGACTCAGGATTAAAAGTGTTAATGAGAAATAAGAAAAAATAATGAAGAATAATTTTGTAGAAAATCATTTGAATGAATTTCATTTTTGTTTCAATTTGTTTGCAAATAAATCGAATTTGAATATTATTTTTTTTTTTTTTTAAAGTAATGATAGATAAATTAATCTCGTTAAATGATTGAATATATTGTAAAACCTAGAAAAAATAAATTACTTTTATCTTTCTATTTACATTTATTTCTTTTTTTAATATAAGAAATAAAGTGTTTAAATAGAAATATTATATATATATAATATATAACGATATATATATTATATTAATATATAATTTTTAAATAGATATAATACACAATAAACGTCGTTCATTTTTATGATGGACAATAAAAAAAAAAAAAAGTAATAATTTTGTATAACGAGAAACAAAAACCCTAAAGTTAAGTCACAGTCAATCAAATTGGAATAATTATAAATATTTAAATAATTAACACTATGTTTCCTTAAAATCTAATCACGTCGAACAAAAAATTAATGTCGGATGGTATATAATAGTCATATCCGAAAAAATTTGTGATACTTTTCAATGATACACACTATGATTCAAAATTTTTTCGCATATTTTTAGAAAATAATTTAGAACAGTTCTATATGTTTGAATTTTAATACTGAACATCATCCGTACATAGATACATACCTGTATATAAATACATATAATGATATGAATGTAAGATTTTTTTGAAGGAAAAAAAAATAAAAATAAAAAATAAAAAGAAAAGAAATCAAATGAAAGAAAACGTTGCCTAGAATTTAGTTATAAAAAAAAAAAAAGAAAAACACAAATTAACAAGCGACAAGTATTGAAATACCACATAGAAAATATTTCAAAATGTTTTAAATAATTATCATGAATAATTATATTTTGTTATTTTATATTATTTTAAATTAGAGTCTTTTTAATAAACTACGAGTAAATAAATCCGTGAACACAAACATAAGTGTCTTAAAAAAATATGTTTGTATATGTATTGAATATATTTACGTACGTTTGAAAATTTAAACTTTTGATAAACCACGAGTGAATTTCTTCGTTAATCTTTTTTATATGGATTTTTTCTTTATTCATTTTGTCAGCGACGAAACGAGAATAAGGGCTAAAACTTGTGAATTTGTAATGGAAATTGTGATATGTGTTTTGTATGTTTCTTAAAAAGAATTAACGCAGACGACCCGTTTATTTTCATATTTCTTTTTTCATCATCATCATCATTTTTTTTCTTCTTCTTCTTCTTCTTCTTCTTTTCATATTCCCTCCACTATTTTATAAACTTTTCTATTTCTTTCTTTGATGCTTTTTGATCGCCACTTACTCATATGCCTTTTGATATTGTGCAGTTTTTATTTTAGTAATAGAATATTACCGTATTTCTATGCATTAAACGCGTGTCAATTTTGTTATATCCCATAATTAATGATGTTTCTAAATTTCATTTACACATACTTTTGTTTACGTATGGATTATATTCACTTGTACAACAAGGAATTAGTATTTAGTGTTATTTCACGTGTACCGAAAGTAAAGCATTTTGTTTTTTTTCATTTAACTTTTGTGCGTCGACCTGCGAAAAGGGGAAATACAAAGAACAAATTGAAGAAACAAAAAACAAGTAAACATGGAATAAATAGAACGAGAAATAAATTATACAAAATAGCGCAACAAAACAAACAAATCAACACAGTGTGCAGCATCAGAGTAAGAGTTGGATAGGAAGAAAACGTAAAGCAGAGATTGTTTTACAAGATATTGTGTTAAAGTGTACCAAATGCATATGAGTGGTGCATAGATCATGCAATGAGAGTTTCAAGCAATGATAACGATCTTCTATTTTCATCTTCTTATTCTTGTTCTTTTGTTAAAAAATAAATCTAAAGTTGATATCTACCCACGTATTACTAACACCACCAACTTCGCAGGTGACGACACACACATATTATTATACATACACCACACGCTCAAAACATACACACATATATGCTTGTGATTTTTCAGGTTTTCCTCTCTTTTTCTCATTCTCTTTTGTTTGTCCCCTCTTTTTATGTAATTTTTTTCAAGCGTACTTTTGTGCGCGAATAGTTTACAATTTCACACGCTACTCTTTCTTCTTCTAACATGTCTGCCTTGTCCTTTTGCTGTTCTTTTATATTTTTTTTTTTTCTTGTTCTGTGTTTCTCTTTCATTGTCCACAAATTTTGTTTGGATATATGTATTTTTTTTTTTTTGATCACTAATAGTAAAGGCACGTAATGAGAAGTGGAAGGATAGATCAAGAAGATTAATTATACTGATAATACGCGATCTCGTTTTGTAAGATTATTTCAAAAAAGTTTTTTTAGAGATTTCTTTTTTTTTTTACTATTTATCATCATCTTTTATTTCTTTATTTTTTTTTCTTGTCTTGTCTTTTTTATCCCCTTTAATTATTATTATTATTTTTTTTTGTCATTTCTTTTTCATGTCTCAAAATGACGACGCACGCCTCGTATGGATTAAATAGTGGTATATACCTGTATATACCAAGAAAATACTAATAATAAATTAACACGATTCAATAATAATAGTACAGCAAATGGCAGACATAGGTTTTGTTTGTATCGATTGAAAAATATTATGTCCCATATAGAAATATGCGTTAGATCCTTTTAAACGGGGTTTGTGTTTAGTGTTTTACAATTCGGAGAATGAAACTTGTTCGGTTTCCATGCAATATCCTTTGATCTCTCTCCCCCATTTTGTTTTTATGAAAAAAAACAAAAAAAAAAAAAATAAAAAAAAACATGTATTTTTTCCTGTGATTTTGTAAAAAGCTTTTTAACAACTTTGCCGATGATTTATATTCATTCATTGATGTTTTTGTAAACCGGACCAGTTTTATAAATACGCACGAAATTTAATTAACATACGAAGGAAAGAGAGACGAAGAAAAAATATTTGATAAAAGTTTTCTCATTGTAAATACATTGTGTTTACTGCTTAGAATAAAAAAAAAAAAAAAATAGCTTTTAATGATAATGCATATCCGGCTCTGTTCATATTTTTCTTTTTTTTCTTTACTCGAAGATACATTCGAAGAATTAAGAAGTACACAACGTATACACGATCATAAACGTGATACAAATGGGAGAAATCCTCTCTTTCATTTACTTTTGTATTGAAACATATAAATAGAAAAAAGCGTTGAGATATATATAAATATATATATTTGTATATGTACATACAAATATAGATGTATATACATATATAAATATATATACATATATGTGTATATATACAAAACTAAAAGCGTGTGTTTTTCTTTTTATGGCAACGTTCTATCCAAATTTTCAAAAGCCCCTCTTTCTTTTATTTTTCATTTCTGGTCTTTTTTTTTTTTTTTCAATACAAAATGCACCAGTGTTCTAAGTATACACAAACTTTCCCCTAGTTTCTTTCCCCGACCGAACACTATAATTGATTATTACAATAACATTTGTCAACTCATGAAATACATAATAATACAATAATCTCTCGATAGTATTAATTTTAATAGAACATGCCCAAATTACAACCAACTTGGATCTTTTTATCTCTACAGCTTCTTTTACCTTTCATTTTGTTGCTTCTCCTTCTCCCTCTTTTTCTTCTTTTTCTTCTTCTTCTTCTTCTCCTTCTTCTTATTACATAAGTATGTTTATTCTTTATGAGATGTGTGTATAAAAAAATATGAATCAATTCGTTTCATCTTCTATCAGAGGTAGATGCGCAGGAAACAGAAGCGGTATTTCTTTTATACTTTTTTTTTTTTTTTTGTTCACTCTCATTTCTTTTGCAATTTCGAATAACTGTTATTGAAAGATCTGTTCATTTACTGCTGCTTGATCTCTCGCGGTTGGATTAATTTACATGCATACCTTTACATCTACCTGTACATCCTAAAAGGCTAGGCTGACCTATATATATATATTTTCCATAAAACATTTAACAAAAATTGTATCGAACCAACACAGAAAAAACAACGGGATGCCTGTTAATCACCGCGAGAGGAATGAGTTTTATAATCGGATATATAATAATATAAGGTCACTAAATATGTTTTTATAAATTAATTTACGTGACACATCGGTGTTTACTATTCAACAGTACTGGTTTTTTTTTCTCTCTCTCATTTCTATTTAATTTATAGCACTCAAATCGCGCTGTGGGTAGAGATAGATACATACATTCCTTATATAATAAAAAATAACCATCCGGCCTACACACAAAGAGACAAGAAAGCATTAACAATAGGAAGTTATGGTTTCTTTTTTTTTTTTTTCCTTTGCCTAAGAAAACAAATTGTTTCTCTTACCTTTTATTGCAAAAGAATTTATCCTACATTTGGTAAATTATCAAACAAAGACCTAGACTTGGCATTTATACGCACGCACACATTTATACGGACGTTTATGTAATTATTTACAATTATAGAATAGGATCAAAAATTGAAGCTATTACAAAAATGGAACGTTAATGGAAAGTGCTGATTTCTCTGTATACAAATATTATGTACATAAACATATATATATATATATATATTAATAATATAAAATAGCGCAACACAACTAACAAACGAGCGTTAAACCATAATCAAAAGCGATTCGAATAAAAATTAAACGAATTGACAGGTAATCTTTTTTTTCTTTTTTCCTTTTCTGTCAATCAAAACTACATAGTTTTTTTTTGTGTTTTTTTTTCTTTTTTAAATAACTTTCTCGCAAAACCTTTTCATTCTGTTTTTTTTTCCTTTTTGTTTTTTAAATCCCCATTGAAGGTATTTTTAACCATAATTCAACACGTATTATTAAATTACGCTCTTTAAACTTGTAAATTTACTAACGCCTGAGGAAAAAGCAAAAAATGATGTGTACCCTTTCTATTACAAGAGAATCTCCAACATTCTCAAATTTCTTTTACTGTATATATCTTTCGTTGCATCCAGCTTTTCTCCATTTTCTTTTTCCTTTTTGTTCAAAACAGGGGGATGGTTTAAACTTCTCCGAAAAACGCTGTTTCAGAATTTTCAGGAGTTCGAAATACAATCAACGATTAATTCACTTTCACAGGAGAAAAGGCAGAAATGCTAATGGACATGAATTTGCACAAACCAACAACATGACGGCTGGAGGTTCTGTACGAAGTAGCGTCCTCGACGACGACGAAGAAGAAGATCCGACGCCATTGAGCGTTTTTCATTCAGCAGAAGCTTAGGTGTCAGTCGCTACTTGTCTATCCACTATTACGAAATATATTCTCCAGCGTCACCACGACATATCGGGCACGTTCTGTTTGACTGTAAAATAAATAATAAAAAATACAAATTTTATTAATATTATTAATATTAAATAGAATTGAAAGTTTATATATATATATATATATAAAAAAAAAATTAAAAAAATGCATATTCTTGTACTCACTTTAAGCCACTTGTCGATGCATTTAGAATGAAATTCGTGCGAACACGGTAAAACACGAAGCGATTGCAGTGCTTCGAAATCACACATGCAGACAACGCAATTCGTTTGATCACTTTGATGCGTTTCTGCATTGAATTTGTAGGAAGGTAATTGTTCAATCTCGGCACGCATTAAACCACGTGGTTTAGCTTCTCCAAGTCTTTCAGCCAAAGATAGAAGTGCCTCGTAATTTTCTGTTGCTGAATCTGGCGAGGACAAATCTGCATGGCTGTATGGAGATAAAGGTGGATTGCTGAACATCGCTCTAAAATTTGTTTTATATATATGTATGTATGTATATATATATATATATTTATTTTTTTTTTATTATAATTAACAAAGAGAGCTAGCTTTGAGCTTGAGCAAAAATTAAATATACAATTGTAAACTTACAAGAAATGTAACAAAAATCCTGGATATGTTGTAGGTGGTAATGGAGGGGTGCCTCTCCATCTACTCGATCTTGGTCGCCTAAGAGTATGAAGATTCGAAGCCGCTCTGCGAATTCTCGTCTGTATCATTTCTAATTGATTATTTCTAGACTCGGATAAGTAAATCGGAGGCGGTGTTGTTACTTGTGTGAGAGCTGGAGGAGAATATGAATGTGGCAATGGTAACGGTGCACCGGCAGTGGCTCCAACTCTATGATGATGGTGGGGTTCCAATAATTCAAGTTCTACCTCTCTCTGAAAGAAAATAAAAAGAAAAAGATATAGCAATAAATTATGATGTCTTAGAAATTATAGTTATTATATTTTCGCTATGTTCTTTTTAATTTTATTACCTGCTGAGATAGTTGGTGGTGGGCCGTATAATGTGGTGGGACGGGTGGAGGTGGTGGTGCATGTGCATGAAGTGCAGCAACTGGACCTCCTGCAGGAGCTGGATACCCCCTAGAGGTTGCGCCAACTATGGATCCTACCAAACTATGACCAGAATGAGTCGCATGAGCCGCTGAATAATGATTATGGTGATGCGTGACCTAGAAAAAAATATCATTTATTTCTATAGATAAAAGTAATTCAATTTATTATTATGTGGGATCTAGCACATTAATGCTAAATAAAATAGAAATTCGTGAGAAAGTTGTGATCAAACTTTGAATATCTCAATAAATGGAACATTGACTCAGAAAATGGAAGACTCGGGGAGTTCAAGTCCCGATCCTCACAATCGAGTGGTTCAACTGTTTCACGAATCCTACAATTTGGGGCTCGTCCGGGATGGAACTTGTTGTTAGTTTAGATTACACACTTGGAAATGTGTGCAACAAAATGAGGAAACATTATAGGCCTTTGAAATTTAAGACGATTAGAACATTCGAAAAGAACATTCGGGGTCGAGTGTGGGATCGAGCACCTTCCACCGTGCCAAATAAAATAGGTATTCGTGAAAAAATTGACCGTGATACCCCAGAATAATAAATAGAACAATCACCCTGTAAACGGAAGATCCGAAATACGAGAGTCCCGGTCTAGTTAAACTAACAGCTCAATATTTTCACGAATTCTACTATAGTAGTTATAATATACGATAAATATGTGTACGTATAAATAATTGAACAATCCTTTATCTCACTCACTTGACACGAATGCGCGAATGGATGTGCTTCAGTATAAATTCCGTGCACCTGACAAGGAATTCTATAGCTCGTTGGTTGTGGATGCCACAATGGTTCGCCACTAACAGTGACACCAAGACCAGACACACCGACTTGACCCACATCAACGACTACCGGTCCATTAGCACCTTGCGCAGGATGATGTCCTGTACCAGGCGGATGTCGAGGATGCGTTTGATGCGCATTGTGAATATTATGATGCGAGCTGTGTAGATTATGATGGGAGTTGTGGATATTGTGATGGGGACTATGAATTCCGTGATGAGAATTATGGAGCGTAGCATGGGGATTATGGCCAGGGATAAAGGGATAGGAAAGACCAAAGGAATCCGTATATCGTTGATACCGATTTCTCATTGTAGGACTACCGCGTGTAGACATGTGGTTACGTGGAGATCGACGTTGAGAAGCTGATGAAAATTCCCAGGTTGGTGGAGTCGTATGTAAAGGTGGCGTTGGTGCTGGTGGTGTAGTTTCTCTTACTTCCATTCCAGAAACCGTACCATTTCTCGATATCCGACGACGTTTTCTAGACGGAGATTCGCTCTGAAATAAACATTTCGAATAAATTAGGCCTACTGTTACTTTTTTGTTTATATATATATGTATACAATTTTTTCATCGTCTCTTTACGAATTATTTTTGATGAACGACAACATTTGAATAAATTATACTTTAGATGAAAATTGGAAAAGCATTTTAAATTAAAAATGCCTAGTTTCTCACCTTTCTACCATCATCCTGACTAGGCTGTCTATAATAAGCGGGCGAGGCTTGAATCTGTACAGGACTCAGTGGCAACTGGTTTGTGGCTGCAAAAATATACATACTGTATTACACTTAAGATTCAAGAAACTTCTAAGGTACTATCGAGTAAAATCCAAAATAATATTTGATAAGGAAGATCTTCATTTTTATATTTTATAGAAATAAAAAAAAAAAAAAACTTTTAATACCTTGTGAATTTCTACGATATTCCATGTCCACCACGTCGCTGGCTGCAAGCCCAGGACTCATATTTGAAAGAGGACCGCGCATTATATTCTCCTGGAACAAAACGGACAAATAAAAATACCTAAAATGTAACAGCAATGATCGACGACGTTACATATATCACGATTGAAACTTAAATAATATTTAAATAATATTTTTATATTTTCGTTTGCAAGGATGAATAAAAAAAAAAAATAAATAAAAAACTATATAGAGATTATTTATCAGTGACGCAGGCCTGGTTTAGGAAAAAATGTACATTTGCGCGTGTTAAATGTAATAACGACGCACATGTCAGATGTAATATCAACCAATAAGAGAAAGCAACCCACCCGATCGTACTTGACACATCGTATTTGTCAAGATTCGTGACAAACTTCTGTCGAGATATAAATCGAATTTTTTTTTTCTTCCTTTTCATTCTTAACATTAAACGTAGATTTTTTTTGTTCTTTCTTTCTTTTAAAAAACAAAGTTCGATATCAATAAAGTAAATGTAAAATATATACAATTTTTAAATAAACAATCTTACAAAATATTAATTATTATGAATATTTACTTGTCCGCAAATACTGATGTGAAGCGGCGTAGAGTTGGTTGTTGGCCCAACGGGTTCCTGAGGGAAATGAGGTGGCGGACCTCTCGATTGTGGACTGTGCTGCGGAGGTGGTTTATATCCAACGCTGCTTCCACCTACGCTAGCGTGGTAGGAAACTTCCTTACCGGTTGGACTTGATGATGTGCCAACTCCTGGACAATCCCTGTATAAGCGTAAAAAAAAAAAAAAAAGAAAAAAAGAAACAGAATTAATGATACTGACACTTTTATCTCTTAAAAGAAACTTTAAAACTATCAGAGTTACAAATATATATATATAAACCATCTAAATAATAACATTAGCCTAATCATTATATTAAATTATGAAATATTATTATACAACAGTTCATCATTTAATATTCAACAAAATTGTCATTAATATTGAAGATTGAAATCAATTTTATGAGTACAACATTGACATTGGCCAATTTTCAATGTGATTAAAAGAGTTCACCCCTTTTCTTAACCCACCCCTCACTCAACGCTACTTTGATTATTTTCAAAACGTTGTTAAGACGAACACACCAGTTTATGTACGCGTGTGAAAATCCTTTTTTTATGTGTCTCTTCATCACGACTGTTAGAAGAGAAAGAAAATCTACCATCATCATCATCACCACTACCACCACTAAACAACATCAATGGTAACAGACATACACACGTTTGCATTCGTAACTTTATATAGTGCCGTACACATTAGTTAGATAGAAATATATATATATATATATATATATATTTAAAGAGAGAGAGTGAGAGAGTAAGAGCAACAGCAGAGCAAATGACGCAACTTTAGTATAATGCCCTTAATATCATTTTCCGTTTCATCTCACGAAGCACTAAAGTCGAGAATGCACGTTAGTAGTAGTAGTAATAGTAGTAGTAGTAGTAGTAGTAGTAGTAAGTCCAGTAGTTTCGTTACGATCTACGAAACACATTAGTTTTCGTTTTCTATGATGGGTAAAAAAAAGAAAAAAATAGTAAAAAATTATTTAAACAAAAATGATGTTTAACTCTGTTAATTATTGTTGACCTATCCACCCGTTATTTATCTAAGAACTATTATTATTTCTTTGATATGATACAATTAGCATCTTATCGGAATAGAAAAAAACAACTTAACTCAAACACGAAGTGATGATATATAATAATAATAATAATAATAATAATAATAAAAGAATTGACTTAATTAATTTTTTTCTTGATTTTATTTTTAAAAAAATGTATGTGTAAATGATTCGATCTTTCTTTAATAACTTGTCAACATTTGTCACCTTTATATATATATTATTTAAGTTGTCCATTATAGCGGAATAGAAGGTAAAGAGGAATAATAAAAAAGAAAATGTACTATTGCGTGAGAATGTTGGCATTGAAATCGTCTTTTCGTTCATTTTACGCAAGATCGTCATTTTGACGAATTTAGAAACGAGCAACCATCGCATTATATATATATATATATGTGTGTGTGTGTGTATGTTAGTGGGTGTTCAGTTACACCTTTAACGTGTAAACTTTGATGAAAAATGTAAAGGGAGTTCTTTTTTTTTTTTTTAATCAACCACCCCATATTATACATATAAGCATATATTGAGAAAGAAATATTATATATGATATCAACCGTAAAGTAATATTGAAATTAAAAAAGAAGATGAACAAAAATAAAATGAGGAAAACGCGTTTTGCGTGGGTTGCTACTGCTGCTGCTGCTGCTGCTGCTGCTGCTGCTGCTGTTGCTGCTCGATACCTTGGTCCGTTGACCTGTTCGCAAAATCCGAAGGGTTATTTGAATGTTTGTTCCCCCTGTACTTCGACTACGCTGCTGCAGGGCATCATACATCGTTCTCTATCGTTTTCAGCGTATGTAATATCTCACAATCGATCAATTCGAGTTTACTATATACTACTATGTTGAATAGAGACTGAAAGACTACTACTACTACTACTATTGGCTAATGTTCAAACACAAAAGGGGAAAATTTGAGTACGAATTTAATATATAAAAAAAAAAAAACAGACATAAAAATCGATACTTTAATAATCATTTTTTGATCCTTTCCAAAAAAAAAAAAAAAACATTTTAAAGTTTAAATAATCTTACTAATAATTTGATAAAAAGAGGAATCTTTGGTTGTTGTTCTATTTCAAATGATAAATCGTTTTACAATTTGTTGGTTGGATATGTGAAATAAAATATGAAAAGACTCGTAGAGAGAAGTTTCGTTATTGGTAATGCAAAAAAAAAAAAAAAAAAGAAAAAAAAAGAAAAAAACAGAAAAAAAAGTGCTAGGTTGCGGCACGTTTTGGTTGGATAGTTAAATTTATTACGCGTATTGAATAATATTTGATTTAAAAAGAAAAAGAAAAAGAAAAAAAAAAAATCGTTCAACGTTTTTAACGAGCCAATGTTCATCGATTTCTCGTATGCATCTTCACCTTAAAAAACAAGGGGGGGGGGAAACACGTGAATATTCCTGGAATATGTTTTGTGTGTTATCTATTGAAAGTGAAACTAACGAACTGTAAAAAAAGGTGTAAAGATTTCGAAAACTTTTTTTTTGTTCTCGACACAAAAAGAAAAAGATGGACAAATAAAAAAGAAGAAATAATAAAATATAATTACATTGAAATAAAACACACGTGTGTGATCGAAATATATAAAACAGTTTAACAATTTTATCGATGATTTTTAATTACTGTAAATAAAGAGTAAAACAGTAGTAGGGAGAGGAAGAAAGAGAGAAAAAGAGTAAGAGAAAGAGAAAGAGAGAGAGAGAAAGATAAGATCAATGAAACGAAAAATTAAATTAAATTAAAAAAAAAATAAAACGTGCAGCAATAAATATAAAAAATTTGATCGTAGAATATAAAAACGATTTGCTAAAAAAAAAACGCAAAGAGAGCCACAAAGGATTGTAGAAAAAGCTACTTCGACTAGTTAAAACTAGAATAATGATCCTTGAGAAGCATGCACAAGGAGCATACCCCTATGTACACGTTGATTATCATCTATTAGAATCGTCAAACCTCTTATAAATAATGTTGGTTGCACTGAAAATTAAATATACACACACTTGCTTGGCCTGAACGCATCACATTTTAAAAGATCTCACTAATTTGGTTACGTCATATTGTTGTTATAATATTTTATAACAACATTGATTTTCAAAGAATTAGTTTTTGTATTGATAAAAAAATAAAATAAAATAATAATAATAATCATTAAATAATAAATAAATATTTATAAATATATATTATATTATTTTAATAGAAAAAGAAGAAGTTTATTTTTCAGGTATACCCCTTTAGGGTGTTTACCCCGAAGGCCCACCCTACATGTTCGTTCCCCTTGACAATATACTTAATTCTAATTATATATTATTTTAATATTATATTATTAATTTATAATATAATATATTTATTTTATTTATATTATATATAATTTATATAATTTTATTTATAAATATATATTATATACAATATAATATATATATATATATATATATATATATATATTCGATAAAAAAAAAAGAACAATATCGAATTAATTACACGATAAATTCGAGTTAATAAGATATAAGTAATGATAAAAAATAAAATAATAAAAAAAAATAAAAAAAGATAAGGAACACAATTAGGTGAGGTGTTCAAACCAAGTAAGAAAATATAGCGCAATGGGGCTCAGGTGAATCAACCTATAAATCACAATCAGTGGTTGGATTTTTCTTTCTATTTTTTTTTCTTCTCTCTCTCCCTCTCTCTCTCTGTCTGTCTTTTTAAATAAATAATCTATGACAATCAAATCGTGTATAGCCCCCTGAGCCCGTTCGCGTAACCAAGAGATGCATCGGATGTACGTGCCAACGATGTATCAAAGATGCAGCAAGGGTGCATCGATCGTATGTCGCGTCGCCAGCTTTCTAAGAAAAAGAACAAGTTATTCGTACTGCGTCTCGAAAGAGTTCAACGAGAGTCCTCGAAAAATTCATCGAAATCGATTGATCGAAGTTGAGACGTTCTTAGCTCACCGATATAATCGATCTCGATATATGTATGCATCTATGTATGCATGTATGTACGCATGTATATATGCATCTATGTATGCATGTATGTATGCATGTACATATGTATGTACATATGTATGTATGTACATATGTATGTATGTACATATGCATGTATTTACGCAGGATATCGAGCGGAAGGGAGGAGAGGAGGTGGATATAGAAAGGGGGGAATAGGTGGTTATTGTGGTATGTACTAAATGCGACGTATATATGTACTTGCAAATGGAGAACTGATATGATACATACAACTATTTATATAGTATGTATATACACATATACACATATATATATATATGTATAGTACACGCGTGTCTATCAAACAATTTATAACCTATTACAAAATTAGAAATAAACTTTATAAAGATAATTAATTTTTATTATTGAAATAATAATAACAAATCCTTTCGCGGTATTTTTGTTAAATTTATTTACACGCAATAATATAATTAAATTATATAAATGAAATTCTAATCGAACTAAATTTTATTTTAAAAAAGAGAAAAAAAGAAAATATACTTATCAAAAAACGAATGACAAATCAACAACATTGCTGGATACTAAGAAATTTATCTAATTGTAAATAAAATATATATATATAACTGCGCACATAAATTATATTCGAAGTTTCTGATTGATATATATATTATATGTTGCATCGAATATGATATACGAAAAGTAAGAAGATCTAAATATATAATATATTTAGATATAATATTATAATAATTAAAAATATTTATTATATATTATATAATATTATTATATCTATATATATTATACTTATATATACTATAGCTGATATAGATAATATTATAGATATTATAAAAGTAAGAAAAAATCTAATATATAATATAAAATATATATATATATATTATTTATTATCTACATATTTATCTACACCTTATTTTTTTTATTATAGTAAATAAGAAAATCTAATATATAATATAAATATATATTTATAATAATATAAAAAATATATTGTATATTAGATTTTCTTATTTACTACTTATAATAAAAAAAATAAAATGTACACATAAATATGTAGATGATAAAACTAGAAAAAAAAAAAAAAAAGAAGAAGAATAAAAATTTAGCTGGGACAAGGA